ACCTGTTCTAGGATTTCTGAGTTTTGCAGTAGCATAATTGCTGTATTTTTCTGTAGTAAAAAATGGAGTGAAAACAGGTTTGGTATTTTCCAAGGGGTATCTTGAGTCTATTGGGGGGCATGTACCTACTGGATTTGTGACATGGTGTGGGCTATAGCTGTGGGCTGGGGCCAGGGTGGGCGTAGGATGGAGGCGCAGCTCATAGGCAGGGTGTGGGAAGGGAGGAGGAGCTGGCTCCTGCTGCTGTGCATGGCTCATCCAGAAGGAGCCCCCCCTGCCCCCCCCCCCCTTTGCCTTCCTGGACAAATGGTGGGAGCCACCAGACTAGCACCGGAAGAGCTGCACACAGCGATGGGAGCTGCACCGGCCCTGGACCGTGCTGCCACCCCTGTAGGATCCCAGCCCCGGAGCGGCTCCCCGCCCAGTTGTGCACCCTGCCAGCACTGCTGGGGCTCGTCTCCATGGAAACCTGGGCCCTGCGCTGTCATGGCACCGCTGCTACTGGGGTCTCCATGGAAACTGGCCACAAGGACACAAGCAGGGGCTGCTGGGAAGTGGAGTCTGGCCACTGGTCGGATCCACCATTTTCCCCACCCTGTCTTAAATGATTCTGTTGGCAGTCTGATATGTGGAATGTCATTTGTGTACAGGACCTAGCACGACTATTAATGTTTAATAACATACCTGAGCATTTGTCTCGCCTGCAGTGGTTTGTGGAAACTTAATGCCCATGATGAGAAATGTTGCTGTTCTTGTAGCTAGCTTTAATCACAGATGATTCCCTTCCTTTTTTTTTCTTTCTTTAACTAGAAGATGATAAAATGTTTCCCTCTGTCATGCATTAAGAAAGGTTCTGCATTAACTACATTCACTTGGTTTTCCTATAACAAATTTCTTGCCATGACCTTTTATTTCATGCCTTCTTCCATCCACGTGGCTTCCTCTTTTTGGCCGGTAGTTATTGATAAGCTTATCAGTCAAATATGTTGCATAGGTTTTAGAGGAATTCTTTTACATGACTGGTATTAAACAATAATCTAAACCAGGGCTCCCCTGCCCACAGGGGACTGCAGGCCTCCCCATAGGCTAGGAAACTTGGTGGCAGGGGAGCAGTGGCCATTGATATGCCATGCACCTGCCAAAGTTCCTAAACCCGGCATGGTCAAGTCAGGACTGGGCCATGCTCTGTTCCCCCTGTACCGCTATGTTGGGGCTGGGCTTGCTCCCACCCCCCTTCCATGTGACTGGATTAGGCTCCAGGGTGTCTGCGCTGTGGCTTGGATCAGGATTATCAACAAAAAGGTTGAGCACCACTAATATAAACTAACAGTTAGTCATGGCAGCATGTCTTTATTTTACTGTACTGTGACCAGTGTATATGAAGGTATGTCTTTTTAAGTCTGGAAAATACGTGTACAGTGTGGCATTTGGGGGGAACAGCCCCCATTTTCAACTTGTGATCAGAATTCCTTTCTTCACAAGTTAAATTCTTTTTTCTAAATGTCAGTTTTTGTTAACTTTATAATGTGAAATTTTCAACTGAATGCTTCCTTTGAATCGCAAGTCAGAATGAAATCCAACATTGTCCACTGGATTTTATTTGGGCCGTGCTGTGTTTAAAAACAGTAGAAAGTAGTAGTTAGACAAGCAAGCATATTAGTAACCTATTATACAGATACTGAATCCGGTCAGTTGCATATGAAGGTAATATTTTCTCTTGTTATGCTTGTGCTTTGTGGTAATCAGAGAACATCGGTCAAAGCAGAACAAGAATGTCAAGCAGTAGGCTGCTGGAGTTCAGCTACTAAAATTAGCCGTGTACCTGCACCTCTGTGCATGCTGTGATTTACTTTTCATGGCACAATCCAGTGTATATCATATAACTAGTTCGGGTGTCTTTTTTGTTTGTTTTAATTGGCTAGCATCTAAACATGCCTTTTTCATTATTTACTAGCTGATGGAAACATAATTGTAAAGAATGCATCATTTAGTTGGTCCAGAAATGATCCTCCATCATTGAACAGGTAAGTCATGGACAATATTTGCTCTAAATTGGGATGGGGAAAAATATGGCCTGCCAGGCACTTTCATCTGGCCCACAGTGCCCACCAAGTAATTGTACCCTGCCTAGCCCTTCCACCGTGCACACCCCTGCCAACATACACTATTGTGCCTCACTCCCACCCTTGTGGGTGGAAGGGCCTGGCCCTGCCAGCCAACAGCCTCCAGGTAGGGCTGCTTCTGTTACTGCTGCAGCTGCTGGGGGACCTGCTCAGCCTCCCCGGCATCCTGCTTGCCCACACCCCACAAACACCCTCCCTCCCCCCCACACACACTCTCTCAACATACCCTATCACTTCTCACACACAGCCACACTCCCTCCCACACCCCTCATTCCACCAT